CCCCACCTTGCCGGGCAATCGCCCCCCATCCCGAAAACCCCTCCCCCGCCGCTGGAAAACGGCGCCCACCCTTCCCCCACCCCCGATAATCCCTCCCTGCCACCGGAATCCGGCGAAAAACCCTCCCCCCCACCCTCGCGAAACCCTCCCACCCCCTCCCAAAACCCCCACCCTCGAAATCGCCCCTCCTCCCTTCCCTTACCCCTGAAATCGACCCACAGTTAGGAAAGGGGAAGGGGGCGTTTTCGAAGGTGGGGGTTTGGGGGTTAGTGGGTGGGTTTCGCAAGGGTGGGAGGAGCAAAAGGGGTGAGTTTCGAGGGTGGGAGAAGGTTGGTCGTCGATTTCGGCGACGGGGAGGGGTTGTCGGGGGTGGGGGGCGATAATCCGGCGGGGGAGGGGTGCGGGTAGGTTGTTTTCCGGGATGGGTGGGGGCTGCTGTGTTTAATTTTTTTTTTGGTTTTTTTAGTTTTTTTTTTTTTTTTTTTTAATTAATTTTTTTTGGGTTTTTCTACATGGTACCCCCCAATTATTGTGTATTCTATATTGTGCCCTTCTAAATCCAAACTTCTACACGGTGCCCACAAGTTTAATTAACTTTATCACTTTTAACCATTCATTAAGTTACTGTTAAACACTTTAAATTAACTACTAACTATGGTTAGCAATATTTTTTTCCATTTATTTTATTAAAAACAAGGTCAGTAAGATGTAATTATAACTTTATAAGATAATGTGGTTCTATTTCCCCCAAATTCAAGATCTTCCACCATTGTTAGCTCCTTCTTCTCCATAATAAACATTGATAAAATGAACTCTTTTACTCTGAACTTTCTCAATCTTCTCATCACTAATTAAAATCCAAATTCTACAACAACGAATTAGCAATCAACCTCAACCAATTTCTAATCCGCAACCTTCCCCGTTAAAACCCAAAAATCCCTCTCCCGTAAAACCGTCCAATTCAGCCCCAATATTCACCATATCGTCATTCTCCGATGTCAAATCGACTCAAATGTAATTGCAAAATACAAAAACATGCTAAATTGAAGGTGTCTTCTACGAATCACAATTTCAAGAAGGGGGTGAATAGCAATCTGTCATTATTTTGCTGGTTATTTTTATGTAAAAGTGAATTAATAATTAAGAATGAATTAGCTTTGATTGTAGTAAGTTAAAGGATGATTAGCTTTGTTTGTTTTGTAGGTGGATTTGTGTGAACATCATCAATGAAAAAATTCAAATTTGTGCCAATTCTTTCTCTGTCATTTTGGTTTTCTTTGCCTAGATTATTTAAATATTCTTTCTGTCATATTTGTGAACATCATCAATGAGTGTGAGAGGTTTAATCAGAATGGGCTTTTAATTATGTATTTTATGTCATTTAAATTTAAGTAGTAATTAACTAAGGTGGGTGATTAACTTAACCATAAGTTAATTATGGTTAACAAAACAGCTTATAAAATAATACACAAAACTTGTGGGCACTGTGTAGAAGTTTGAATTTAGAAGGGCACAACATAGAAAACGCAATAATTTGAGGATACCAGGTAGAAAAACCCATTTTTTTTAGTTTTTTTTGAATTATTTTTTGACCAATCCCGTGTTGACACGTGGATTGTAACCTAAAGTAACAGGTTTGGTGACCTGTTGGGATCTTTAAAAGAAAATGGGTATTAAAGTTAGGATTTTTGAAGGATAATGGATAGTTGAGATTTTTTTTTATAGTAAATCACCCAAAGTTGGGAATTTATAAACTCAATTTTTCCTAAATGATAATAAAGATATATTTCAGTATTATATAAGAAAATGAGACCATTTAGATGACTCCAAATTAAATGCATGGAATATGAGACAAACAAATAGAAATATGTGTTTAACTTTGAGCACTTGAATGTGTGAAGACTAAGGGCATGTTCTCATTGACTGAACTGAGCTGAAATGAACTAAACTGAATTGAGCTGAGCTGAGCTGAACTGAACTGAGCTGAACTGAAATGAATATTTTATAAGAGAAGGAAATTAGGAGCTGGACTGAACTGAACTGAGCTGAACTGAACTAAACTGAATTTCAACGTAAGAGAACAAACCCTAATTAAGAGGTTAATAAAACAAATCAATCGATCATCTCTCAAAAATTATATGTATATCTCTTGTTGTTATGAGGTTAATATACCTAACATCATTACAAAATTTAACTAATCAGCACATTTTTTACGGTAATAATTTAGATTCTTAGATAACATGATTTTTTTTTTCTAATGTTGTATAGAGAGACACAAAGATTTTTAAATATAGTCGAGACTTTATCATGTTTTAGGTATCTCCCTAAAATTTGTCAACAAAGCCAAGTGATTAGACATCCACATTCGTAAATTGACATGATAATTACTACTGCCAAACTACTTGTAACATGCATTTGCTTACCATTTTTAAAAGTACGTCATATTGAAAACCATCACCCACGTAAGCTAAGCATCTTTTAAAAAGAGTCGTGATGAACCACAAAAATTATGTACGTACTTCCTTACTTTGTTAATATGCATAAATGAAATGAACTAAAGTAACTAAATTCGTCACACCTAATCTCCCTAATAAGGTTGAAAACGAAAAAATTATCGAAGGACCACTCTTCTTTGAATTATGGTGCATATTATTCAACTATTATATGCTATATGAGTCATATTCAATTTTCTACTATGACAATGATACTATATAGGAAATAGAGCACAATAGGTTTGCTATTAATTTAACACGTTGATTCTTTCTTTGTGTCTAAGGTTTTCATCACGTTTAAAAATAATTCAATATATTGACATGCATTGCAAAGATATAATATGATATTTTTTTTTAATTCTAAGTTATAGGATGAGTTGATAACGATTAAGGAAATTGTAATAGAGGAGGGGAAGTTGATAGAAGAGTATAGGTTATGATGTGATCCGATGCCCTACGTTAATTCTAGACCAAGATGAAACCAAGAAGACAACTACTAGCCTTAACTTAATAGTCTAATAACTAAAGTGTTCCCGACCCTTACAAATTGATTTTAGGACATAACATCGCCGTAATGAGTAGGCCAGTAATTCGGCTAATTCCTTTATTTTTCAATCAAGCAAATATAATTAAATTATTAACATGAGAACCGTCGATGATTGTTCATATGTATTGTGTATTTCATTTTGGAGCGAGAGCTTGTACTTACTTTGTGCCTTTGTGGGATACTTAGCTTAACACTAGCTAGGCACATCCCACCACTCCACTAATACACCACAAGTAACTCAAATTTCAACAAAAGTTGGTACATAAAAAGTGTAATTAGTTGGTAAGAAATCCAACATTATAAACTTTAATATGTAGTACATGTGATAATTAATGTACTAAACTTTAATTAGAGCATCTTCTTAGAACCCCTAACTAATTAGCTTACAACTTTAATGTAGTACTACAAATGAGTGTTTGAGTAGTACAAGATAATAAACTTTTTTAAAAAACAAAAAAGGGTTGAAAGATAGATTTGGATTCCGATTGGGTACCAGTTTCTACGGCTTTACATTGTTAAAGGTCTTTACTTTATACAAGTTTTTTTGCTTACAAGGCAACATTAACATCTAATAGTGGATTAGTTATGTTTAATTCTCTTAGTTTCTTGTTTAATTAACTTTCTTTTTTCCCCCTTAAAATAATTCACAAAATTTATATTAAACTTTACAGCATGCAATATCTTACAAAATATCCAATTTCTCCCTTTTTTTTAAAATATACTGAATTAATTAAGAAAATACTTGTATTAAAATAGATTTTTTTTACTTAGTTTTGAGGGATTACTAAAGTATAAAGATTGGTCCATATGCTATAAATATAGGATGAGGTTGAGAGTAGGAGAATCCGCATCATTTTTGCATTATTCTGACACCCTTGCTTGTATACTTTGGTTTTTAGAGATTAGATTCCCTTCTTTCTCTCCATCTCATATACTTTAAATTGTTTCTTCCTATAAAGTTTTTAATTTTCTTAAAAGTTTATATGAAGCAAAAAGAATAGTACGATTTATGATTTAAGCAATACTTCTCTATTTTTTAACCGTCTTTTAAGATTATATACAAGTATTCTTAAATATTACTCGTAATAATACATTTGTATCTTTAGATAATGAGTATGGGTCTACGGGGTATAGTACTAGTGTGATGATACATAAACAAATGAAAACATCGTGTATAATTAGTTTGTTTTGATAATATGATATGAAATTAGAAGAGTAACTCTCTATAGTTAGCTTAGTAAGGAATGTACAAGCTAAAGTAGGAAGTGATACAAAGAAGGAACCAAAAACCAAAAAACAGAAATCACAGTGATGCCAAACAAACCCTTAATTAGTTAAAATATTAAGGATAATTGTAAATATTACTTAAGTTTTTTTTTTTTTTTTTTTTTTTTTTTTTTTTTTTTTTGTCCTTTGCTTTTCTATTTACAGTTTACACCAAATTAATTAATAAAAATAAAATTTCAGACCCATGCTGACTATGGCTTATTGGACCCAACTAATTCAGCCCTTGGGTCAATATAATTAGGCTATGGATCAGATTTGGGGATAGGTTATTTGGGTCAATTTCATGCTAATTGGGCTTGGCGCAAATTTGAGTAACTGACTCAAATAGTAAAAGAAAACACCCACCTGCTAGAATTTTTTATGGCATGAAGGTATATAAACTTCATACTACTCTTCCGTACAACTTTTAAACTCCTTCCATCCCTCGGTTGCTATTTGGGCGCCTATTTCGCGCTTTTACGGTATTCACATATTTTACTTTGACCATTTTGGTAGTTTACGGCTAAATCGACAACTATCTAATCTTGCCAAAATCACGCCTGATTAACAAATGACAACTCTAGCAATTCATAAATGCATGACCACATCAAATGTACTAATTCATGGCTCTGATCTTGCTTGCATCATCTACTAGCATTACAGAGTTGGATTTTTGCATATTCACACACATGCAATTCATAATCAAGCTGTAATATTTCACAATTCTAGTCCTATACTCGGTCAAAGTTAGTTCATTAAGAATTTCCTTCCAAAAACATAGTCCAACAAGAAATCAAGAATCACACTAAACAATCCTTGAACAAAATAGTACACTTAGAATCCAAATGATTCAATCTAAAGTCGTCTTTGATTCAATCTAAAATTGTCTTCTCAACGATTTCCCAGGAAAACCAAAGGTTCGCAACAATCTGCCTTGATTTACATTTACTTTGTACTGTATACTGTATTATCGAAGAAGACATCAAATCGTAGTTATTCACTTATTCAGCCAAACATGTTGAACAGAGAAGGTTTTGCCTGCTTGTAATTTCCTAACCAGTGCTGCATATGAACACCAATAGCATCCAAGTATGAGCCACTTCTTCCGTGGAAGCCAACCACTTTTCCTTCAGTAGTTGTTGATGTGAAGAACGTTCCTGTTTCCTCGCCAAATGGACCGTACTTTCCTCGACTAGTATAGAAAGTTAACGATCTGATGACTTTGGGATGATCATCCTTGGTAACTGGACCATAGTAACCTGATATACAGGTAAGGCTTTCATTTGGATACTCCAGTTTGATCTGCAAGACAATGATGAGAAAAAATTAACATCAAATGACTCAGAATAAATTTCAAGAAACTTGTAAAAGGATTAAAGGCATTATACCCGATGTGTCTTGGTGCCAGTGTTAACGCCATGTTTGATGGACCAAACTGACTGTCCATTTCGATCATATTCAATTTGTATTGAGCAAATTACTTCAGATTTTGTCAGAAAAATCTGTTTAATTCCAGTGAAGACTCCATCATCCCAAGGCTTCCCTCCATCACCGCCCCAGGGTCCAGGTCCACATGGTGCTGGTTCTTTTACAATCTTGTGAGCAGGCTAAAACATATGAATTAGAATAAATAAAAAATTACTAGGTTTCCAAACCTGTGATTTGCAACTCAAAGTACACAAAAGAGGAGATAGAATGTTGAACCAAGGAGTAATACCTCTTCTGTTAGTGCTCCTCGTGCAACCATTGGTTTGCTAGGCCACAAGGGATTCCCTTCTATAGCAGGTTTAGTAGCAGGTTTAATAGCAGGTTTAATAGCAGGTTTATTGTCATTCAAAGGCAAAGGAGGGCGCACTTGTGGTATTACTTTTCCCTCTTTAACATGAACCCCAATGGCATCCAGGAAAAGACCTTTTCGCCCATGAAAGCCCACAATCATCCCTTCCTTCGATTTGGAGGTAAAGGCCACACCTTGCTCTTCACCATATGGTCCATATTTTCCTTTCGTGGTATAGAATGTGAGTGATTTAATGATGCTAGAACTGATCATAGTAGGGCCATGAAATCCCGTTATATGTGTCAAGATTTCATAAGGATAATCAAAGATTATCTGCCAAGGTGCAATGCAATACAACACAAAACATATGGTCAGTACAAGAAAAGAAGCTGACAAGTCATTTTGATTTGTCAGTTATGATCCAAAAACCAACATGTATTGAATCTGATTCCATTAGTCCAGACATTGACATAGTTGCAAATTGAAAACACAGTTAAAAACTTTACCTTGTCTTTTTTGAATCCACCAGTCCCTCCATTTCTTCTTCCCCATACAGCTTCCTCTTTCTGCTCATATAACACTTTCATATAGACAATACCAACATTTCGAGATATGATAATCTGCCTGATGCCAGTGTACGTTCCATCATCAAATGCAGTTCCTCCATTACCACCCCAGGGTCCATGAGTCACAAGACCTGCGAGCTTTTTATCAACAAGGGGAGTAGGGGCAAACACCTGTACCAAAAAAAAAAAAATAAAAAAAAAAAAAAAATAAATAAATAAATAAATTCACTATTCATAGATAACTGCATTGAATGATGTCTGAATATAACAGAATAATTGTTCCTGAAAGATGTTTCCCACCTTATCTTTACTCTCTACATCAGAGGAGTCAGAAGACTCAGAACGTGAACTTTGTCTTGAGAATGTTAATGGTGAAGTATTGGAGTCCAATTCCCTTATTTTTGGTGGAGCAGGAGCATTACCGAAGTTTTCCCTCTGTTTTATAGCAAGCACTATATCATAATCCTTCCCTAAACTTCCATGTATAACTGAGTAACCGGAATTATCAGCCCTGTTAGAAACATAGTTTTGTGAATAAGGTACAGGCTTCTTATCAAAAGGCTTCAGATACACTCCAATGGCATCTAGGAACCAACCACATCTACCGTAGAAACCAATGATCTTTTCCCCAACCTTTGGGCAGGAAAAGAATGTTCCCAGCTCCACACCAAATGGTCCATGTGTTTTTTCATTGCTGACAAAGGTCAGTGATCGAACACAGAGAGGGCCACCATGATATAAGGGCCCATAGTAACCATGGACAGAAGTCAAAAACTCTTCTGGATATGCAAGTTTTATCTGTAGAATGGAAAATAGTCCGTTAAACTCTATATTCAAGCAAATATTTCAGTTTTATGCAAGTCAGTATTTATTTCCCTTCCCCTCCTGTTCCTCCCCCTTCAAACTTCTAAACAATCAGATATAAGAATTTTAAAACAAACAAGGGGGAAAAAAAAAAAAAAAAAAAAAATCTCTTCATGATACAGTGATTACTCAATAATACATAGTTGTGACAAACCTCATCTGTTTTATAGCCTCCAGTTCCACCATGCTTATCTGACCATGCTGGATGTCCTTGCTTATCATATTCAATGTGAATGGAGTCGATACCAGCTCCATGTGTAATTAGTATGCGTCTCACAGTTGTGTATACTCCATCATCCCAATTAGATCCAGTTTGACCACCCCATGGCCCAACAGCAACTGGCTTTTTTTCTCTATCCTGAAAATCATCATGACAAATTCAAATGAGCCATTAAGGTTAAAATCTTATACTGAAAGACAAACAAATTACACCAAGAAGTTAAAGCCAGTAGTTAGTCTAATTACCATTTTTCAATGCTGAACTACTGCTAGAAAGCAATGAACCAGCTTATCAATTTGTTGGTGTTTCTACTATGAGCTGCATACAAAAGAATTTATAATACCTACAGAACTTATTCCAATATGGCAAATTCCCAGAAATAATTCAGAAAAATTCAGAAGATGCTAATTCTATCACCCACTTTAAAAGAGGGGGGATGAAAGTAAGAGCATCAGATTCAAAAGGAACTAATTCAGGAATTGCTTTAGATTAGAGAAGCATTCTGCACTTAGAACGGTCGTATTTTTATCTTAATTTTTTATTGACAATGGCGCACAATAAACACATACAGTAAAATCAACAATAAATCTTATTGACAGAAAAATAATAATTGAGAGACTAATTTAATAGTCCGGAGTGTAAGCTAACTATGATCCCACCAGAGAAATAACATTGCTATATAACAGGTACAGGGGGATTCAGCATTGCTGTTACTTGGGCTTCAGAATGTGACAGAATTGTTCATGCAACAAAAATGTGGTCAATTAAGTGACCTGTGGTGAAGCCAGCTTTTGTTCATGACTTTATTGCAATATTCTTCGTAGGCGACTAAGTCTCTCTAGGTGGATCAGGACTGAGAAGGAATGCCATTCTTCACTTTGCTCAGGATCTATCAGACACATTATCGTATCAAACTCTCAGTGTCACACATGATTCATTTTGTAGCCCAGCAGTCAATTTTAGTTCAATCAAATTGATCAAGTAGTAAGCCAAAAAAATTGAGCTTGTTATAAAAAGGCTGAAAGCTATCTATCACTCTAACTTCCAATCCTTCTCCCTGCTAAGCCACAGAAGAAGAAAAAGGTCAGTCAGTATTCCTCTTACAGAAAAGGTTATACGTTGACATTTATCCGAAAGCCCCTTACACTAAATTGCACAAAAAGAATGGTCTTGATAATTCTCATGCAACTATAAGCCTCATTCTAGCTTCATAATTTTGACAAATAGGAAATATCAAATAATTTTTAAATCATCAATCAAATCTAGAGAATCAGATACTGTTTCTTAAAGATGGCAAACGATATAAAATGAATTTAAATAGACATAGGATCCTCAAAGATAAAAAAATTCCAGGTTGTAACATATAAATTGGAACTCTCTATTGTGTAAAACATGGTTAAAGTTTAAATGATATTTAATTCAAAGATCATAGAAGCAAGAATCATGGGAGAAGAAGAAAAAAAAAACTGAGATTGAAAAGTATAGAACAAAAATTGCCTCACATTACAATGTAATACACCCAAAGCAAACCATAGACCAAAAATTGAATCGATCCAAAAAATAATGTAGCAAATGTTACACGAATGAATCCACTTAGATTTGTTGAGAGTAAGTAACTAGCATAACTATGAAGAACAAATACCTGGTACAATATAAGTTAAACCTTCAAATTCACTTTTCAACACATATTGGACACATCAAATTCACTGAATTTGTACAATGTATTATCTTAAAGTTCAAACTGCAAAGTAAGAGAGTGGGAAGAAAAAGATTCACAACTTAAGCAGTTAGTTCTAACCTGCTCCTTGCCCCTCCAACATGATTTAGGGAAACAAGCAGTCGGAGCCACATTTCTTTCATGTGCATTAAGGATGCAGAAGACAAGCAAATTTAACAAATGGAAATTCCACTGACATCTTTCTGTACCATATGTCAATGATGGGTGGGTATGCTTCTGGAAGAGAATTCATCCTCAAGCCCTTGGCTTTGCATTAAGCAACCTGAAACATTTATGGAAAAGAGGCATTTTACAGGCAACAGAAAGAGCAACAATCAGGGTGCTGAGACAAAAATCTGAGCACTTCTGAGTCAAGACAATTCAAAACTTGCACAAGATTGAATTGATTGAGATGTAAATAGATATCACTCCAAGCAAATAACAGGTCAGAAACATATGAAAACTAATAATGTGGATCATTTCATCATTTATATGTAAGTGCCATATGATGCAAAAAAATGTCTTATCTTCAGAAACTACACATTGTTAAGATTCCTGTCCAGCCAAAAGACATCTGGTTCACTACATATTTACAGATTGTCAGTGAATACAATTGGTTGCCAGTCATTGTTATCTACACTACCAATAATCCCCACAGGAACATCGCCCTTTTTTGAAATGATGCAAACACTTTGTATCATTTAATAATATTTCACAACCATATGCTGAAGAAATATATTTAGCTGTACAATGGCAGTCTTCACAAATTCGGTAGTTCTTCACAATCCTTATGCATTTTACTTTAAATTCTGTGTTGAGAAGAGCAAAACCAAGGGCAAGCTTTTCACTGTGTAACCCACTAACTTCTTCAAAATCTTCTTCATGTACATAGTGCATACTTTCAGAGTCAGGTAATTTAATATCCTCTTCAATACTCTTTAGCCAAGAAGAAATAGCGCTCAAACCTGAAGTACAACGGTCACCACTAACAAACTGATACACCTGATTTTTCCATTCAAGCAAGCTGCACCCACAAGGTTTTTTCAAATCCAAATTTCCAAGTGCCCTGTGTTCTAGAGTGTTGACAGATCTTTCAGATGCCATATATGCCTGTGAAAGCAAATGGTGGATTACACCATTTCCAGGGTTCAATTTAAGCAAATGTTCACCTGCATGGATTATCAAAGCAATGTTACCACAGGATCGACTTGCTGTCAGCAATGCATCCCATACAGCTGAATCAGGTTCCGTCTCCATGCAGTTAATGAATTCAATTGCCTCTCTAAGCCTACCTGAACTGCCAAATAAATCTACCATTGCTGCATAATGTTCAGAACCAGGCACAATTTGGTAATCTTTGGTCATGCTCCTGAAAACTTGCTTCCCTTTCTCAACCAATTTTACACGTCTGCATGCAAGTATAAGACTTATAAAAGTACCTCTATTAGGCTTATATCCTTCCCTTGTCATCATATCAAAGGCTTCAAGTGCATCATTTGAACGGCCATGTAAAACATAACCAGCGATAAATGAGTTCCAAGTGATGATATCCTTTGACGACATACAGTTAAATACAGAGCTCGAGTAAGCAAGGTTGCCTGACTTGCCATAAACGTCTATAAATGAATTTGAAATAGCAATATGGGAATCTAAATTTCCGCGCAGCACACAAGCATGGATTTCTTTCACTTTGTTTGCTGCTATTAGATTACCACAAGCAGGTAAAATTGACAAAATTGTAACTGGATTGGGTCGATAACCAAAACATTGCATTTGTCGGAAGATCATCAGTGCCTCATCCTTGCGTCCCATATGCAGATAACCAGAAATAAGAGAGTTCCATGATGATGTATTAGGCTTTACTATTCCTTCTTTCCCCATCATCTGAAAGATCTCCATGGCTTGGTCTTCATCTCCATTTTGGATGTAACCTGAGATTATGATGTTCCAAGTCACAACGTTGGGTGATGTATCTGATTCCTGCATCCTCATAAGCAGCTCATGGGCTTTGCCACAATAACCACCTTGGCAATAGCCTCCTATCATTGAATTCCATGTATAAACATCTTTTTCAGACATCAAATCAAAGACCTTGCGTGCTGCTTCAAATTCTCCACATTTTGAATACATGTCTATAAGTGAATTCCCAACTAAAACATTGCTACAAAAACCCATTTTAGCAGCAACTGAATGAAGCTCTTTCCCCTTCTCAAGAAATTCCACAGATGCACAGGCAGAGACTGCACTAGCTATGGTAACCTCATTTGGATGAACATCAACCAAAAGCATCTCCCTGAAAAGTTCTAATGCTTCAACTACCCTATTGTTCTGTGCAAGGCCTGAGATCATTGAGGTCCAGGTAAAAACATCAGGGATCATTCCGAAACCTCTCATCTTGTTGATGAGTTCCAATGCAGCATCACAATTACCTGATTGATTGTAACCAGTAACTAATATGTTCCACGTTATCATGCTAGGTTCAATCCCCTCTTCAAACATCATATTCAGTAACCTATGCGCCTCAACATTCTCCCCTGTACGACAATATCCGGATATCATTGAGTTCCAACTAACAATATCCCTCTCATCCATTTCCTCAAAAAACCTCCTAGCCAAACTCATTTTTCTACACTTTACATACACAGCCAACAATGCATTAATAACCCGCTTACACGAACTCATCCCACTTCGAATCACCAACGAATGTATCAATCTTCCAGTCTCAAAATCCTCACATTTCCCACAAGCTTGTAAAATCTTAGGAAACAAAAACCCATCAGGCAAAATACCCTCTTTCATCATCAAACCAAACAACCCAACCACCTCACTCCATCTTTGCTCCCTAGAGTAAGCCCCAATCATAGCTGACCAACTAAACAAGTTTCTCTCAGACATTTCATCAAACACCTTACGAGCATCATTCAAACACCCACATTTAGCATACATACTAACCAATTTAGTCTCAACAAAGGGGCAAACATCCTGAACTAAGTGTACCCTAGAATGCAATTCACGCCCTAATTCAGCTGAATTAAGTTCAATACAACAATCTAACAGCTGTAAAAATGCATTAGAATTAAGCCTAAACCCATTTTCTGAAATAGAATCCAGGACAATTATAGCTTCCTTAAAATGACCAATCTTGAGAAGATGATTCAAATGAGCAAAATCTGGGATTTTTGAGGGAAATGGTTGATGGGTTTTAGAAAGAGAAAGAGTTGATTTAATGGGATTGTGAGAAATATCAGAGAAGATTGGTATAGTAGGAGGGGTGGATTTGCAGGGGATGATTAAGCTCTCCATTGAAGAACAACAATTTTAAATCTTTCTGAATTATTGTTTCAAAAATTGAAATGGGTAATCCTAATTTTTTTCTGGGTATTCAAAAATTTGTTCAAGTTTGAAGATGATGAAGAGATTTGGAGAATTAAGGTTGTGGCGGGGAATCCACTCTATCTTAGTTTGGAGGGATGGGGCATTATCTTTTTTAGTTCCATTCTATCTTTCCTTGGGACAAAAAAAAAAAATTGCTTATTATATTATTTTTGTGTCGTTTACGAAACACGAGTTCTACATAGTGATATAAGATCTTGATCTTAAGGGCCTTATACTGATTGACTGGAATGAGCTGAACAGAACTGAATTTATTGGAGCTGAACTGAATATTTTATAAGAGAAGAAAATTAAGATAAGAATTGAACTATTGATACTTCATTTCAGCTCAGGTCGTTTTAAATACAGTTCAATTCATGTCGTTTTAGTTCAAAAAATCTTTAGCAATAACACTATTGATACTTATTGTGAGTTAGGCTATGTTTACTTTATCTAATCTAAGTTGAATTTATTTTTTTCAATCTAATTTGAATTTATTTTTCCCGATCTTGGCAATCTAATCTAAAATAATAATACGGATTATTTCATACGGAGTAATGGTCTACTATGAGTAACACTGCTTCATAAAGCTCTTAGATAAGATGAACTAAACATAGCGTAAGTAATAATAGTCATGTATGCTTTATTCTTATAACCATGTGTATCTTTTAAACCAATTTCACGGTTTCACTTTCACCCAACCAAAAATTTAAACAATTGACCCATGGTAAATCTTCAATAGAGCAAAACTAATTAAACAAAGGCCCAAGGCAAGGCCCCAACCTCTTGGTTCTGAATCTTTTGATGGTTGAGTTTTTGCTATCAAACTAATAAGATGCTAAGCAAAAGGAATGATTACTGATCTTGCATCTTTTTTGATAGCACTTATCTTGAACTTACCTGTCGTCAACATTAATTCTTTCTTGTAAGGTACAAAGTTCAACACTAACATAACTTTTCATAGCTTTTGCACCCATTCAATGCTCATAAGTTTCTCATCTAATTTTATCTTGATTAGATAACAACCAATTGCAAGCAGATTGTTGCATTTTATATGAATCAACTGCGCGAGTAGCCTTTGCAAAACCAAGATCATACGAGTTTTATTATATAAATGCAGATTAGATGATCAGTACACATAAACATGCATAATACAAAGTTGATTAAAAACAGCAAACATAATCTGAAACCTATTATACAAGCTAGCAGTTTCTACACTGCAATATGTACAAAGATCCCATGCATAATTATACACACATCATTTGTACATTTTGTTCAGGATATTTCTGAAGCCTCCTCTCTCAGGAGAATATGGTTGATGAGACAAATCGTCGCTCACCCAGTGCTGCATATGAACTCCAATAGCATCCAAGAAAGTGCCACTCCTTCCATGGAAGCCGACTATTTTACCTTCTTTATTACTCGAAGAAAAGTGTGTGCCTATGGGTTTCCCATAGGGTCCGTATTTAGCTTTGTTCGTATGGAAGGTGAGAGATCTTATTACCCTTCTGTACATATCTCCGACTAGAATATCGTAGCTTCCGCTGATGCTTGTAAGTACTTCATATGGGTAATCAAATTTTATCTGCAACATAGAATCAGGGTCAAATTACTTTAAATGTCTAAATTTCACAGATGAACAAAAAAAACTGACATATTGGTGCAGTTGTGTGCCTATTTTATAAAGACAGTGGACAATAAAGTAGGATTCCACATTGGCATATTATGTTAGGACATCAGGAAAAAAAATGTCAGCTTAATAGTTTGTGATAGATGACCTAATATATTTTTTTACCTGAACTCGAATGAAGGTGTAACGGGTATGTTTGAAAAATCACGTCTTATCCATAATTATGAAACGTTAAGATTGTGTAAAACTAATGAACAGAAGGAGAAGAGTACAAAAAAGCATCTGAAGAAATGTTAGAAGATCAGAAGAAATCAATTACATGGTATGTGCAAGCGTCGTTGGCTATTCCGTGTGGGGCAGACCAAACAGAGTGGCCGTGTTCATCGTACTGAATCTGTATTGAGCAAATAGCATCTCCTCTTGTTAGAATAATTTTCTTGACCCCAGTATAAACTCCATCATCCCATGACTTACCTCCTTCACCTCCCCATGGCCCGGTTTGACCTGAATCATAGAGAGCTGGTTGTCTTGGCATTCCCCATACTACCTGCAAATAATACAGAATGAAAAATTAATGAGACAGTTTTCTTCTATTTCTGCTGTATTGCTAATTGCTATGCACATTACATATCATGTACCTCAGGAGGCTTTACGCCGGGCATGTCATAATGATCAGGATAAGGTGGACGGAGGGGTGGTTTTCTTTCAAGAACATGTTTAGGCATCTTGTCATAATGATCAGCATAAGGCTGAGGAAGGACTGGTTTTCTTTCAAGAACATGTTTAGCCATGTCATAAGGATCAGCATAAGGCTGAGCAAGGACTGGTTTTCTTTCAAGAACATGGTTAGACATGTCATAATGATCAGGATAAGACTGCGGATAGACTGGTTTGCTTTCGAGAATATGGACTCCAAGGCTATGCACAAAATATCCATTTCTTCCATGAAAGCCAACAATTGCACCTAACGAGCCTGTGGAGAACGGAAACCCTTGTGGATCTCCAAATGGTCCGTAACTTCTTTTGTTGGTGTGGAAAGTAAGTGATTTGACAACTGTAGGTCCTCGCAGGATTGTGGATCCATAGAATCCTGTGATATGAGTCAGGACTTCGTAGGGATAGTCGAAAACAATCTGCAAAGTGCCTTAAATAATTAACAAAATTCTGTTTGAGATAGCAGAATAATCTACAAAACAAATAGGTAAGAAATACAAACCTTGTCAAGCTTGAGTCCTCCAGATCCACCATGCTTGTTCCCCCAAACCACCTTCCCATTTTGATCATAACAAACTCTAATGGATACCAGCCCTCCTGACCGTGTTATATGTACTTCTCGAACCCCTGTATATATTCCATCATCGAAGTTTGATCCACCATCACCACCCCACGGTCCAAGTGACAGGACTTTCTTGTTAATCCCAGGAACTCTAACATGAGTAGTAGGGAGCATCTATTGTTGAATTTGTCAAAACGTTAATCGATTACAATTTTGAGTTTAAGCTTGACACAAAATAAATCAGTAGGAAAAAAAAAAAGAGATGCAAATCTTGTCCATACCCTATGTGTCTCCAAAAGATTTGTCTGCGGTTTAGATTTTACGTAAACCCCAATTGAATCAAGGTATTCACTGCTCCATCCATGAAAACCCACTAACATCTCATCATTAACAGGCAGTGAGAAAGGAGCTCCTTGCTCAATACCAAAAGGTCCATATTTTTTCCTGTTGGTTTGCAAGGAAAGTGAGCGGACAATCACTGGACCACCTTTCGGAATAGAACCACAAAATCCGCTAATTGAGACTAGATATTGAGTAGGGTAGTCAAGCTTGATCTGCACAACCATAGCAATTTATATATTTTGAGAATCTAAAAGTCATCTAATATACAAGCAGATTGTATAATGAACATAAATAATTTTGTTTTTGGTTTGAAATTGGGCACCAGACAATAATCAAGAACAGGCTCAGATCATTATAAGGTTTTATACTATTCCGTACTCCATTAAGAAAAATGGAAAGTTTGGTTCAATCAGAAGGTAGCTAACTGAAGACATATGAATGTTACCTGATCAGTCCTAGTACCATTGTTGCCACCATGCTTGTCAGACCAAATTGCGCGACCCTTCTTATCATACTCAAACTGGATGGAATGGATTCCAACTGAACTGGTAGAGATCACTACTTGCCTTACACCTGAATAGATTCCATCATCCCATTCATACCCACTTTGACCTCCCCACGGTCCATATGCTATGTGCTTCACCTCGCTCCCCATCAAGTTCTGTCAAGATCAGTTCACAGTATAAACAAGATCAGTGAATAAATTAACTGACAGAATAAAGACACACGAAATGTATGATCAATGAATATAATAGCTTCAGTTACCTTTTCACTATCAGTTCAGCAGCAAATTCTCAGACGTCGTGCGTAGGAGAAATTTGACGTATTAGAAGTTAAGCAGGAAAAACATTATGGTCTCAGTAGTTTCTGATTCTGCAGAAATCTGTGTTCCTGATTTATAAAACGGATAGTACAGTAGTTTACGTGGACGTCAATCCAAATTTTAGAATCAAATATTGTCTGCATCTCTTCCTTCAGTATAAGGCTCGAAATGAGAATATGATTCACAATACAGGTATGAAGAGTCCTTTCACAAAAAGCTGATTCTTAGTCAATTTGCAATACTTAACTGAATAGACAACGATATATGCTGATGCCTCCACTGTTAGTCACACTTATCAGCATCTAGCATCTAAGTAACTTATTTTCAACAGAGAAAGAAACATACGCATGTCCAAAACAATCGAATATAATATCCTACCAAATTCAAGGACGCATCTAATTTACTTACTTTCAACTGAGAAAGAAACATACGCATGTCCAAACAATCGAATATAATATCCTATCAAATTCGAGGAGGCATTCGAATTTCTTAGATAATGGCTAGATGCTAAGCTAAGGCATCTGCTTTATCTTTTCGTTCATTAACTGGGTAATATGCTAGATGTTGATCAAGAATCACCAGAAGATAATATGCCTTTTTATTTAAAATTAAACCAAATCAACCACATTTCACGCAAACATTGGCTGCAGCGAGAGTGAATATGCAAAGAAAACTGAAATATCTTGCCAACTCTGGTATTGCAGGATAGAATATTAGGCATGGAGCATTTCTGTCCATATATACTGCAGAATCCCCCATATCTTTGATTAACTTCTCAATATTTTGCAAAGTTTTATGGTGTACAATTTGGATAAAACATATTCTAGCTTACAACAGTCGCCGGTGTAAATAAGCCAAGCCAGATCAACCAAGCACCGTATGTACGTCCATAACCACACATACAGTCGGTCGTTAGTAACTAGCATAAGCAGACATTATACAAAAAACCACATACGTGTAATTTGTTAACGTTCATTCCCATATTCATCTTCATGTTCAGGCACCAATATTCAAAATATTCAACGTGAATGCCCGCTGTGTTGAACTTGGCAGAACCCTAAATTTGGTACCAGTAACATCACTTTGAACAACTTAATTGAAAAATATTCTACCAAAAGTTAGAACAATATAGATTTCTTATTTATATCAGCTCGTAGTGATGTCGAAGATTTGATCCAAAAGGACAAAAATAAATCAATTGTTCCAACTTCTATAACAGCCAGTTGGATGACACATCGTAGCAAAATCTTAAAAGCTCGTTCGACCTAGTCTCTTCTAATATGGTCCAGTACAATTGGAATAGCTCAATACTTTTCCAAAGTATTTTATACCACTAAAATGCATAGCACTATCACAGTACTAAAATCAGTTATTACAACATACTCAATGAAAAGAGCATCAACACCAACAAATGGACCATAATCTTCAATGCAATGAAGTAAAAAATCTTAGCTTTTGCTGAACTTACGACCAGATAGTTTTTCTGACTCATACAGCATATGATTTATAAGTCCTCTTGCCGCACTGCATACAAACATATTGAAACCATCAGAAGTTCGAAAACTGGTTGTATTAGAAAAGTAGATTAAGGGCATATCACAAGGAATAAGACAAGCAATATGCACCTCAAAAACTCCCTCAGTTCATTTTATTAGCATACTAGGACCATTTTACTGAAATATTTATATTTATTTAACCTCTTAAACATCATCCCTCTTAGAACCAGAAACAAAGGGGCATAAATCAGGCAGATTAAATGGGCTAAAGAATATTGTGAAAATGAAATATTAAAAGTTGTTTTGTGTTGTCACAAATGGTTAGAACTAAAGCAAAAGCTTACTCATCCTTTAACTTATGAATCTTCTCTGGATCTGTCTCATGCATGTTTCTTCTGAATTGCTGTCTCACCAAGTCAACCAACAGTTCTGTGTTATATTGCTGCATATTCAAGACAAAATCAATAGACAAATGTCAAGAAACATATATACTTTTTACTTTCATACACTTGTATAACAATGGTCATAAACACCTGATCAATAGAATATAAGAGCAGCCTGAAGGTCAAATGGCGAGAACTTGTTATTCCATTAAAATTATGAATCTTCTGTAGTGGTTTTCTGAACCTAAACAATAGTGGCCTAATAGCCATGCAATTGTTATCATGATCTGTGAATAAAGTTGCGAAACTCCAGAATTATCAAAACCATAGACAGTGGCTTATACATCCACTAAATTATTGAAATTATAGATGAATTGCCCCCACCAGTCTTGACGTCTGTACAATTAATAAAAATCTCTTACCAAAGCTAAACTACTGCTCTAATGCCTCAAAACTCAGATCGCTTAAGACTATATTTGAGATAAGCTCAAACCTCATACAATCACTCATCAGAGAAGCTTCAAGTGAATGTAAAAAGGCCAAATTTGGTTTCAAATTATCTAAGATAGGCAAGATCATATTTAAGAAGACTTTTGGTTCACAATTTTTCATTTATATTTTTAAAGAAAAGAGAATTACTTAATCTGGAATTCTGAGTTCACTCGTGTTTCATTTCAACATAATTCATCCATGTCATATCCCCTCATCACCTCAAACACCTTTCTAGGCCAAAGCAAAAAGGAAAACAAGATAACTCCCTTTCTCTATTCACTCTTATTTCCCCTTATTCTTTCAAAGAGCTACAGTATTAATGATCAATGATAGAAACCATCTTTTTGGGGACATTGAAGAAGAGGGGTGCCTTAGAAGCATTAGAATCAATAGTCAAATGTAACAAGAGCCACATCCTATTGAAATTCCATTGTATTAAATTGCACACCTTCATCTCTATGCTTTGGAATGGACTAAATCTATGACATCACCTCTAGCTAAACCATAATATTGATTGTTCCGAGAATTTCTACTCAAAAGTCATTCACCAAAGAAGTTCTAGACTTTAGAAAAAAAAGCAATTTTTTTCATCTTCAAACTCAGTTCTTGAACACTCAGTAACCACAGTAAAACATACAGAGTTCCATATATTGTTATATCCCTGAGTTTCTACATCATAAAGATATCACAACAGATTAAAGTCGCATTATACGGCCTTCATGGTTACATTCTTTACAACAACGATAACCCCCACAGAAATTTTCCAATCCACACACTGATTTTTAGCTTTCCATAGTACTAATTCTACTAAATGGAAATTTTAAATATGATGGCTCAAATCCCACATCCACATAATAATCCTTACAAGTTTCGAATCACGATTTCAGCTTCATCATACAAATATCGATTCAATATCTAACTAAACACAACCCCTATTGCACCTCCATCCTTAAAAAAAGGCGGTATAGCAGCAACATTGCATTTCCCAATCTCCAAATCACTACCAATATTCCTAATTTTGGAATGAATTGAGCCAAACTTATAATCTAAGATCATCATATTCATGTAAATTAATAACATTTACCCTAAAACTAACAGATAGCAAGTAATTCAGTGAACAAAAGATCGAAAAACCGGCGAAACGAAAATACGAACCTTAGCGCCAATATATTTAGCTCGTCGGAGGCATTCACGGTAAAGCTATATATACACAAACAAACAAATGAAATTAAATTTAATTCCAAAAATAAAAATAAAAATTGATCAAAATTAAAGGAAAAGATACTAACTCTGATGGCATTGTTGGCGAGTTCTGGAGGTAATGAGGTTTGCAATGACGGCATTATTGCGATTATCTGCAAATTCTGTGTGATTATACCCAAAAAAATGAAATTCAATCTGAAATCAACAAGAAATTTCGCAGAAATTAAGATTTAATTGAATCAAATTACATGAAAAATTAAACCAACTAAGATACTCAGAGATTAAATTTCGAATTTTAGAGAGATTGAAAAGAAGGGTTTTAGCGAACGTAGGAGAGAGAAATAAAGAGCCTCGGAAAACCTTGTTGACGAGACTGTGTTGTTCGGAGTCTTCGTCTGGTTAGAAACTGTAAAATGGTAAGCGTTTAACGAGTATTGTATTTTCTTTTCTAGTACTGTTTTTTTGGGCTAAGGCCCAGAAGATATGGGCCTGTCCATGTAGTAGCCCATGCAAAAAAAAAAAAAAAGTTTTGATGATTTATATAGAGATTTAGAGGTGATCATGAGTGGTCATTGAGTTTATATAGAAAAGAAAAGCATTACACAAAAATATCAATTTAGGAGGCCAATATTCTCATGCCCAAAACATGATGAACAAACTCAAAATGTCTACTCCATATTACCTTTATCTTATGGACTACTTATTTAGCAATCAATATTATAACTTGTCACGTAGTGTTTCTAAGAGGCGAGACTAGTTTATTAATATGGGACATAGGGAGTAACATGGTGCGAGGCCTGAAATTGTTAAGACTTAAGAGTGAATAGTTGTATCTCCATGCACTAGTGCGTGCGTCACTTCATATGTGGCTATGTGTATCTTGCATGGGCTAGTGAGGCTGTGAGGGAGACCATTTTCATGGCTTTCAAGTAACGGTAGAAGTCTTATATATACAATAATTTTCTCTACAATCTAGATTATTTCACTCTAATCCATTCCCAAGAACGTCCACCTCGAACTTACATCTAGTGACCCAAACATACAAAAGTCAACCTAAGATGAATAAAAAAGTATTATCCCCAAACTACTACAGATATCCTTATAAAACTTAACCACTTAATAACCAGCAAACATCGGTAATATTGTTGAACACTCATCAGTCATCACATCGCACTTGTAAATATCCTACACTAGTTAAACTGGAGAGACAGTTTATTATAAGTTAAATTAGTTACTCTTACTACCATCAATTGGTTTAAGTATTAACTATCTTTTAAGCTTGTAATTGAACCGATTTTCCTCCTCCTCCTCCTCCTCTTCTTTGTTTGGATTGCCCAGACTCGTTTTATTACTTTTATATAACCTTTAAAGTGAACAAGTCACATGATTAGGGTCTGTTCTGATTGACTTAATTGAATTGAACTTATTGGAGTTGAACTGAACTGGACTAAATATTTTATAAGAGAAGAAAATTAAAAACTGAATTGAATTTATTGGAGCTGAACTAAACTGAACTGAATTGAAAATAATCTAAAGAAAACAAATCCTAAGTCTATAATACATAGGTAATCTAATACTGAAACGGTTAAATGGATCGCCCACAAGTTTTTTTTTTTTTTTTTTTTTTTTTTTTGCATTGAGAAACGTACGACAATGTACAGCATGAATATATTACTAGTTATCAAGGGCATCACAATAATTATCATCTTCACATGCATGCCCATTTCACATTGTCAACCCTTACTTGATTCTTTCACTTATAAAAAAATACAATAATTAAAATCACAAGACCCCAAAATAATGAAAATATTGTACTAGAAGTGATGATAAAATGAGAAAGAAAGACTAGAAGAAGGGCCTGCTCACATTTATTTAATTTCAGTTCAGTTCAATTCATTTCAGCTCCAATCAGTTCAGTTCAGCTCCAATCAATTCAGTTCAGCTCTTAATTTCCCTCTCTCATAAAATTAGGGATGGCAATTGGGCGGTGCGTGTTCAGTTACCCCCTCCCCCATACCCACACCTGCCAAAATATTTTATACCCACCACCTACCCGCCACCCGCGGTGGGTAATTTTTCAACACCCACACCCGCCTAAGCGGGTAGAAACCTAAACCCACACCCGCTCCACCACCTGCTTTACCGCCTTTACCCGCTAACCGCTAACGAAATATCAGTTTTTTTTTATATAAATTTCTTATATAAACTGTCATTATACACTGAAAATTGTTGCAAGTATATAGTTAATTTGAAATACAAACAATTAAAGTAGTCCGACATCATAACAAATACAAATTAAATTACATAAAAATTTCTCCATAAATGTTTAAAGCAAAACTCAGTCTATATGCACAACTCCACTTTTTCCTGAATCCATTTCATCATAGCCATCATCACAATTATTTCCACCCACTATAATACATTCACCACTTCCTGCACAAGCATAAACACAAATACATAAATTAGATTCAAACGTATAAAAAAAAAAAGAAAAAAAAAAAAGAAAAGAGATTTTAACTTTACCTTAATTAAACAACATAAGTAATTTTAATAGGAGTAGTGAGTACATTACCTTTATAATTTGCCCAAATCCAATTTTGAGATTAAACAACCAAGGCAGAATACTATCTAAACTAGTAGTAATCAAGCAAAGATTAATCATTACATGCATTAGAAAAGGATCTAAGTACGAATTAATTCTACTGGAATTAATAAAAATTCGTTCAAGATTTAATTAAAGCAAAAATGAAAAATTAGTATGAATTACCTCAAAATATAGAGAGAACTTTGATTTTTTTGAATTGTTTGTCCAATTCAACTTCGTTGTTGTTAGATTCAATAAATTTGTTAGTGAATGATGAAAGGAAAAGAGTAGAATGAGTAGTGGAATGAGTAGTGAAAAAATGAAAATGGGTGAGATGAGCAGACTGTAGATGACGGCTAGGGGGAAAACAAATATGAATTAGGGTTTTGATAATAATTATAAGTGGTTGGCTGACTTGGCTCTAATAGTCTTATTTCCTAAAAATAAAAACTATAACTAAAATAATAATAGTCTTACATTGGTGGGTATTTGGGCGGGTATGCGGGTAATTAGGCGGGTAGGCAGGTATTGGGCGGGTATTACTCAAAATCCACCACCTACCCACTATCCACAGCGGGTATGACTTTTATACCCATACCCGCCTACATACCCGCCAAGCTTGTACCCATACCCGCACCAACTGGGGCGGGTGCGGTGCGGGACCCGCATTTTTATACCCACCAGCCTTCCCTACATAAAATATTCATTTCAGTTCCAATCAGTTCAATTCAGTTCATTAAATGTGAACAGGCCCAAAGCATGTGAAAAAGGGACAACTACCCATGTCATGAAATTGAATATTGAGAATTGCCAGGTAGTTTATTTTGGGAAATTGGGTTTTTGAATTGGTTTCGGCCCATTAACGTAATCCAAACGCAAACCTTACTAGTAAAATTTTGAAAGCCCGAAAACAACGTGAGTGACAAACGGCGCATCTACGGTGTCTCCTCTTTTTTGGTTTCCTTACTATTTTCAACTAATTGTACGTACTATACTAGTACTCATCACTTACTAATTACTATGACGCCTCTTCAACTAAATTCGTGACATTTAACTACATAGTCTACTACTACACTTATTAGCTTAGTCACCTACGTCACTTATGTCACTACATAAAATTGATCCGTAACATATTTTATATTCGGTGCAAAATGTACTTATATGACATGATTTAGAGTGTTTGATACTCCATTGATTTTTTTGTTACCGCCGACAAAATAATAATACACATGACATATTATAGACGTGGTTACATATGTGATTTAGATCAGACTTGTATATTGATAAGTTTACGTATGTCATGTGACATATGTCACATTATCATAGTAATAAGTAATATGCTTCATTAATTCCAATTTCCAAATATGACTTAAAATGAGCTTATTTGCACTCTAATTATCTTTCATATGCATAGATGATCAACATTTTCTCTTCATTTTTTATAACTTTTGAAAGATACACATCAAAACTAGTTTATTTGTTTGTTTGTTGTTTGTTTTCCTTACTTGTTTGTATAGTTGTCCCACCTCTTAATTTCGAAGATTCGATACTATTATATAAGATCATTGACACAAATTTTAATTAAAATTCATTATTAAGATGGTATATAAATTAATAGATTTAATACCATGACTAACACTCCCCAAACGGATAACTACATACGACCACCACCTCCCAAACGACCAACACCATTTAATCACCAATATAATTAATGTAATATATAACATATGAATGTATAATATCCTTGGCTTGGATAAGAATGAAGATCATAGACATCGCATTTTCGTATTTATTAACTCAATGACATGAACCACCAAAATTGTTATTTCACTGGCTTGCCTCTTCTGTCTATTTGTTTTTAATATGGCTGGACCACTAGGTTTAATTTGATTTGTTTTCGCACACACTTACTCTTTTTTTGAATATTATGTCGTTATATAATGTCATAACAACTAAATTTATTTACACTTTTTTATAGTTGAATATTATGGCTAACAACTAAATTTAACCAAGGATAAAGTACGTATCACAAAAAGGTTTCAAAAAAAAAAAAAAGTACGTATCACAAAAATATCATTGAGATATAGGCCTTCTGACAAAGATTAAGAGTCTTTATACGATATTTCTCGGTGTGTCATGTCATGTAAGGGATTTATCGGCAAAGATCATGTAATAATGATATAAATAGTTTAAAACAGTCTTATGTTCACAAATTTCATCATGCCATAAGACTAAACAACATTATCTTCACTTATTGAATTGGAAAGATTATGGATAAATAAAATGAAAAAGTTGTGAAATGAAAAGTATTATTCTCAAATTATATATATAACCATTAAAAAATTTGATGATAAAAATAATGGCTCCCATTTTTTGTCTCCTTAGCGAATAGCGATTAAGGATACAAAGGTACGACCTATAGAATTGATCCTACACAAGTATGGTCGTAATGGTTCCTTTTTTTTTTTTAGGTTACATCATTATGGCATTTTCACTAATAACACAAGCAAAAAAATTTAGTACACAGTTACACACGTTTACTCTTTTAGTGACGAGTAACATGGACATCATGAGTTTATAACAACTTTGCTTTAAGCCTTTTTTACTTTACTTTGATGTTTCCACTCTTATTTTCTGTTTTGCTTTCTTCTTTGAAATCTTACTTTTTAAAGTTTCAAACCCTGACAAGAAATTGTTGAAGGTCATTTTCCTAAAAATGAAACACCATATTATTACTACGGAGTAATACAATTACTCCACATCTACAAAATATTTCAAATGCTAATTAATTTTACATTTAACACCTTGAAAATTTATTATCCCACCACAAGAAAATAATCTTTTCGTAGCGATTATTTTAACCTTT